TTTACACAGAGACTGCAATATATTTCCAGTGGTTTCTCCATATTTATAATGTCAATATTCATTCAGAAGTTTCAGCAACCTAAGCAGTCTGCAAGCTTCAGAGAAATATTAAAAAAACCCTAAATGTAAAAAAAAAATTCCTCCAGTATTTAGGAACTCATCTGTTGTCTGAAAAATATTACAGAATATACATATTCAAATCTATAATTCATTTTGTGGGACATCCTCAGTAAGCAAGTAATATTTTTTTAAATGTTTAAAAATAAGCAATTTTATTGCATAAATGGACCTATTTATTTTTCCTTTCTGTGATAGTTTAACAAAACCCACAATATTTTGAAAGCCACTCCTTCCCTCTTGATATTTTCATTTCTTACATTATTTTCCAGATCATTCTGAATCAGAGTAGCTCCTGGTCCCGCCTTTGATACTGTTTCACAGTAGCCTAAGAGAGTGGAGTACAACTTAAAAGAATCTGTGTAATTTCTCCAGCTCCAAATGCCCAGAAGGGAACAAAAGGAGGAGCTGAGCAGATTTTTCTAAAATTTACTCAGCTGTTTGCTTCAAAAAGGATTGTCAGAAAACACAGGTGCATCTGCAAAGTGTCCTCTATCTTCAGCTAACTTCTTTTTGAGATAAACAAGTTTGAAAGTGCTTTGTGTATATATATATATATACACACACGTAAAAAATAGAAGTATCAATATTAAAAAACACTGAATATCATGGCACACTTTAGTTCATACCATGTGTAGACCTGAGAGACAGCAGTAATTTTGTATTTTGCCCTCCATGAGTCTTCTGAGTACTTTTGACACTCATGCTTGGGCCATTGAACTATAATGAATACCGTATTTATTCATTCTTATATTGTCTGAGCAACTTGCTACTTTGTATCTCTAAACCCGTCACTTTTAGGGAAGTTTTCTGCACTTGATTAAAGGACTTTAAAAGATAGAGAACTTGACAGGCTGCTCTACAAGAAACTTTCTTTCCTCCTTTTTTTTTGGAAGCAAAGTAACTGCCAATGATTTTGTCCTTCAGAGACACCTCTAGGAATGCTTACTGCAGCAACAGGATGAAAACTTTTTGTTTTTTCTTGAAACACTGGCTCTACTTTTCTTAACCAAAGCAGACAGCATGCTGATAAGCCACCAGTGGCATCGGGCGCAGCACCAAAGAACATCAAGGGCTATTTCAAACAAAATTTTGAAACTGCTTGGCAGTTCTTAATCACAGTCTTCTTTCAACTTCATGCAACTGTAGAAGTAAAAATAAAACCATGATATCTTTAACCCTGAGAACTCTTGTTACAGTCTGTGGCCTTATGAATGGCACCTTGATAGAGGAAGCAAAATTCCTGGTTTCCCACAATACCAGCAGTGAGAGAGAATGTGCTGAACAGCCCCATATATCATCATAAGAATTCAATATACAGAACATCATCTGTTCACTGTGCTTGAATTCAGAGAAAGACGAGATAAGGTTAGCAAAACACTGCAGAGAATACTTGTCACTTTAACGCATCTCCTCGTGTTAACTGTTTTGTGGTGTAAGCTCTAAAGTACCAACACATCCTTCCAGACTGTGCTGAGGAGCAGCAGCTGAACAGTTCAGTGATAAAGTACGCGATAACTCAAGTGGGTGCTAGCTACAAGTGCTTGCAAGTATTAAGAATAATACACAAAGTCAAGCCCAACCGCTCCTAAAGCAAAGGGCTGACAGCTCAGGTGGGTGGACAGCCAGACAGATCAAGAGTGTAATAAGGTAACACAGCTTTCTGTAGTGTAACGGAGCTGAACAGAGCAGCAAAACAACACTCGGAGCAAAAGCCAGCTAAGAAACTTTTTAATCTTTTCCAGTAGCCAACTCCTCTCTGCCTTCTTACTGCTTTCCGCGTTGTTCCAAATATCAAAGTGCCTCAGCCAATCCTATTCCCTTCATCTGAGACATCCGCAGTAGGGGTGAGGGATTATAGGCCTGGGAAGGTGCAAGTCAGGGCTGCAAATCTATGTTCTCCAGTAAACCTGGAGGCCGCCATCAACAAGCAAGAATTTGTCTGCCCCCTTTGGTCCCTCAAGAGCTTCCAGGCTCAGACTTGCTAAGATTTAACTCCCTACGGTCCACCAGAACGACGTCAGTGTAACTGCACAGATAAAAAGAGAGCCAAAGACAATGTAGCACCTAGTATCAACAGCCTGGGAAGCTTAAAAGCTGGCTGCAGTGAGCATCGACCCCCTTAAACTCAGCAGAGAGCTACGTAACGTAGTCTGCCGATGCTCCTCTCCTCCGGGCTGCTCCAGCGACATAAATCACACTGAAAGATCTTCACAGGGTCAAAACGGAATTGAAAAGTGATTTCAAATATTATGTTACTAAGCAGTAGCACACCGTTGGAAAATAAAATGTAATTTATGTCTCAGCACAGATACGGAGTCTGCTAAGCTAGTCCCAGAGAGCACTTCAAGAGCACAAAGCAGAACATAGTTTATTGCAGAGATGATTAGCAACTAAGCATATTTCACTCAGGTGCTTTCTACAACCTAAACATCATCCAATGCATACTTATACCAACTAAAATTTCGCTTGTCAACACTGCAATAATGTAAGATAATAGAGAGACAGGGTAAATACAGTCTCAGAAAACACAAAGGTATGGCCTACCCAATTACAAACATTCCAATATGATCTCTGGAGTTAAACTGTAACTTTTAGATCAGTACATATACAGCAGCCTGTTACACGCATTATAAAATGCTGTATCAGAACACACAAAAAATGCGCCAATGGAAACTAGCAGTCCATTTAGCTCCACACCACTAGTCCAACAGTGTGATCACTTACGAAAGGAGAAAACTGGCACTTTCTGGGGTTGTTTCCCCTTCTAACCCTCCCAGCATTCAGATGCCAGCATTCAGCTGTGACAGCCTGGCCTCCTGCTTAACAAGACTGCCATGTATGGATAACAGGAAACTCCACGATTGTTTCAGTTGAAATACAAGGATTTTTGTAATATAGAATTAATTTTTTTTTTTTCCTAGACCACTGCAGGTCTACCACAAAAGAAAACAAAACTAGTTTTTGTCATTTTGCCAATGCTCCATTAAGACACATGAAATATCAGTTTTCAATTAGTACCTTTTTATTGTTCCCCATTTGACTCGGAGTCCTCAGTATTTTGGATGCAGAGGGATCTTATACTCAGGCAATAGCACAATTTAGTATCGTTATTCAAGCTCTGCAGATCTTGGCAACTTTTTCCAATAAAAATACAGAAAAACTAGGACACATAATTCTAATATTTGCTGTAGAGAAAGTGAACATGAGTACAAAGAAGCAAGACAGAAAAAAATCTGAAAATGGCCCATTGTGAAGCATCAGTGAAAAGCTTGGACAAACTTTGTTCCTGCTTCATGGATTCCCAAACTGGGATCCCAACAAGGTTTGCAAGGATAAAAATAAAACAGTATTTTCCTGGACAGTGTTTGCCCTCCAGGACAAACACTTGGTGATATTGACTGTCTGGCAAGAAGAGTGATATTTGGAGGCAGAAGCTTATCAAAACAGCCATTTTCCTTTCCTTCCATTTCACAAAATATAACATTGTCTTATCAGAATGGGTTTCAGAACTTGGCTTTTAGAAAACTATGAATTTTTGCCTTTCTTGTTGCTGTGAAAGCATAGCCACTGGGAATTAACTCAAAATGCAGTATCTTCAGCCTGAAATCATGTTCGCAACCAAGACTGGACATTGTGACATCACCAACTTTGGCACACAGGTGGGCAAACTAAGATCTGCACAGGCCAGCGCTGGACAACGCCGTCCCCCGCAGTCCTTCAGTTCAGTAAAGCACTGCAATGTTTGCTTTCAGCGGTTCCACTGAAATTTGAGTTTAAAAGGCCGACGTCAGAGGGCCTCCAGAGGATGCATGGGGCCCTCCCGCCCCATGGCTGAGATAACCCTACCCCTGACTCGCTTCCAGGCTGCGCATGATGCACCTCTATGGAGACGGTTCATTTCCAGAGACAGCCTCATGAAGCTAAAACGGCCCAGGAGCAATCAAGCACCATCATCAAAAGTCTGACGAGGAAAAAGAGAAGTCTGCTGTTTTGTGTAGTCTAAAGTAAAAACCCTTCCTGAGTTTACTGATTCGTATCTGTACCAGTTGATGGTCACTTATCACTTCCTATCTCTACCCAGATACACAGATCAAAGGAAACCCTAAGTGCACAACCTGGGACTGAGTACACACAGAAACAGAACGGGGCATACGGCCTCAGCATACAAGAAGAGACTCCTATCCAGTCTATCACAGGTAAAGCAGAGAAGACTTTACCACAAATTACCAGCAACGTAATGGACAAGGAATACATCCTCCCAGATTAGACAACCAAAATGTTCACTTCTTAATAGGAAACATGGACTATTCAACTGCATGGACAACTGGTACTGGCCAGTCCTTGAAACCTGTAATTTTTACGATCTCACTCTGACAGCATCCAGGAGATTCTTCAATTTTATGGCCTCCAAACGTACAACCCAATAACAACTCTGACCTTGGGTATTAAAATATCATGCTGAAACAATCAATGGCTGCTGAGATACCTGAGAGTTCACCGTACACAGATCCCCTGTTTCCAAGCTCACAAAAGGAGCAGACAATGCATATTTATTTCCTAACATCTAGATGTGTTTTCAGCAGTTGTACATCTGTGTAACTCTATTAAAATAAATTACTTGATTTTGGTTTATGACCATGTTCTTTCTGGCTCCAAAATTGTACAATAAGATTATTTTTCAGTAAACACAACTTAGGAACACTAATTAATGTGCCTTAACTACAAACTGGGACTATGGACAAATAGAAGCTACCGTATTTCATGCTATAAACTGTTTAGGGCACTCAGCCCCACTAAGATAATGATTCTTCTATAGCTGTCAAAACAAACACAGATTCAGGTATGCTTACTGCTCAACAGCTGCTTACTTTAGATTTGCATCAATACACAACTGATGGACTATGTAACTACAACGGAAGACAGAAGCATCATAAAAAGGTTCACTTGATATGTCGTATCATCATGAATTTAGATGTTTGTGTATTTCATTTGTAAAAATCGTACATCTTCAGACACATGATAAATACGAATCACCATTTAGCATGCCTGCAACAATGTTTTCTTAGGAAAATTTCTGTGACTGCTGAAAACCTCAGCAGCAACATACCGAAGAACACTGGACAAAACTGTAAATGCTTCACTCCTAATTTTACAAGTTTTCACCACTGGAAATCTTTATTTTTGGCTCAGGACTTTTTTTTTTGAGGCCAAGAAGATTCTATATAATGATTCTAGCTACTTCAGCCTAAGTTTGATGAAATTTCTTTAAACTTCTAATTTAATTTAAATAGTGATTCACTGTTTAAAAATCCAATGATACTTCCTGCCTTGGTCTACATTTAATACAGTTGAAAGAAACTGAGCACTACAAGAAGTTCTCCATTGCTATATTTAATATAATGGAGAGTCATGCAACTACAGAAGATAAACCTTTACTCTGAAAGGGTTTATGGGCCCCAGGGATCTCTCTTTTTCCTAGAAATAACACCTTTATACTGAAATAGCAGCTGTTCCTTACCTGAAAAGAGTTCATGCATCGAAGTGAAGGTGGCAGAGAGGTGGTACTCAAACCCAGTATCAGCAGTAGTTCCATACATGTTTCTGACGGAAATGTTAAAGGATGAACTCCAATATCATTTTCCCATGCATCAGCAAGGCTGTAAAGTTAAAAAACAAACAAACAAACAAAACTTTTTCCTTCTCTTAAAATATATCTAAGCCCCAAGTTTCAAATGAATATTAGAATCTGTCATAGTATAGTGATAAAAAATTGTCTTCACATTTTCCCTGTAAAAGTCACTGATAAGTGTGATTTGCCAGAAATACAAGGTGCATTTAGAGTACATTATCTGTGCCACCAATCTTACAAAAAGATACATAATGTGAAAGGAGCACCTAGCATACATTAGAGCAATCTGTTCATGTTTCTAATTCAAAATCTGATTATTTCTGAACCAAATTTCATCTGCCACTGGCAATTTTCCATCATATAGTGTTTTTACATATAGAGTATTCTACAAAGAACATAATGCTTCCACTTTTGATTTTGTTCCTAGAAAGAAAAATGTCCTTTCACTTCTGAAAATACAAGAGGTCAGACTGATTTTCAAAACTGATGTTCATGATACTCTCACTGGAATCTTACTAACAGTCTATACCAGACAAAAATTCCATCCCAGTTCACTTTATACAGCTTTCTGCTTTAGATGTATTATTTATTTAGATGTATTATTATTTAGATATAGGCTTACATACACAGTTTTTGTACATACGCTTCCATTATTAACTCCTCCTAGCACCTTCTTAGCTCTTCTAGTTCTACTTAGCATAATTTGCACATTTTTCTTCAAAAAGTGGGTGTATTTTCACTTTCTTACCTCCATTTGTCTGAAACTGGCCTCTTGAATTTTAACTGTTTGGTTTTTTCTTTCCTAATCTTTACATTTTTTCCTCCTTCCTCATTTATCCATGGGTCTGTAAGAATCCACTTCTGCTTCAATACACAGAAGCGAGACCCATAATGCACACAAGGTCAGAGGGGCTTCCATCTCCCTAAAAGGAGTGCTCTCACTTTTTTTTTTTTAAATCCACAATAAAAGACAAAGAAAATTATATCACTTCTAAATTACCACACGTACCACGCCTTTTCTCAACCCTCACCAGAGTGGGTCACGTTGACATAAGGAGGTCTAAACCGTACGTGGTAAGTAGAAGGAGGAAGGCAGTCCGGGCCAGGCACCCTTTGGCACTTCTAATGGTAGTGCATGACTTAAGATCTCCACATGTGGCTGAGGCCATACCAAAGAACAGAGGCCAAAACGTACACACATTAACAGCCTTTGTTATAGGTAGTATGTCATGGACACTTACACTGCACCAGACAGATCGGGAAAAGGTGTTTAAAGCTACAGCAAAAAACCTGTCTGCTTGGCCAGGAAGGTGAGCAGTTCAGATGACACCCTGGAGTATTTTCACTCCTAAAAGGTACACGACTCCAGTTAAGTCCCAAATACTCTGTCTATATTGAAAGGAAGCGGGATTCTTTTAAAAGACTATGCAAGTAGCCAAACTCAGGAGAGGCAGCCCTGACTGGTCCATAGATTCTGTAAACGCTCCAGGAGGAACATCTAGCTCTAAATGATGAGCACTGAGCAGCCAGTAACCAAGAAGTCTTGTTAATTGTAATCCAGCATTGAGTTTTATATTTCATTACCATTGCATGACTTCATTTCCACACGTAATTAGAAACTTACCTTTATATGTTCCTTACTGGTCTTTGTTTGACATTTTTTACAATGTTGTCTGGTGAAACAGGCAAATTTAGGTGAAGCTAGCAAAACTGGGGTTTTCAATTTTTCAGAAATCAGCAAGTCTAAACAAAGCACTGTGCAGGCACCTTCAAACACAGCTAGAGTCTGGCGACGGGAGGTGATATGCTAAGGTTCTGGGTCTTGGGGAGGTGTTTCCAGAGATCAACACCCTCTCTGCAAATAAATCTTTCAGAACACCAAGCAATATTCAAAACATCACAGCTTGCTGCAGTACCCTGATTCTATTCTTGTGTTTTGAGTTGAGAATTTTTTGAAACTGCCTCCTCCATTTTAAAGTCTGACTCTCACAGTCCTGGCACTGCACTGGGTTGTTGTTTTGGTTTTCGGTTGGTGGGTTTTTTTGTGGTTTTTTTTTTTTGTGGCTGTTGGTTTATTTGGGGGAAAGACTGTTTGCGTAAGGACATTTAGACTAATTATATTGCAATTCTTGTTTATTAATGGCTTGGGTTTAAGTATTTCCTGAAGCAATTCCAGTGTTTTCCCTTAGTACAAACAAACCATGTGTGTCCTAGCACTTACCGCTCCAGGAACACTCATGTTAGGAATTAGTCTTTCTGACTTGGCCTTTTGCAGCATTAACACAAGTGTGTGGGAAGTCACTGCTTTATTAGATCATGTCTCTTTGTTCTTCTTTAGCCCTATTACTCATGGGAGTATTTTTCCATAATCTTCATTGTAAAGGAAGGAGAAAAACAGCTATGCTTGAAACAAAAGCAAAACAAAACACACACACTCCAGTTTTTTTACCTTAGTTTCACAGAACCTTTCTGTATAAGGAGAGTTGCCTCACTTCCAGTACAAGAGAGGAGACTGTTTGCTTTCTGTTTACAGAAAGAGGCAGATTGGCTGATAGTGTTCCTCTGGAGAGTGAGCATCCACGGAGGACAACTCAGCCCATCAGCTCAGTGCTTCCTCCTGGACCAATCCCAAATGCCAACACTCTGAGCTGGCTTAGAGTTCCTCAGCCATGTAAACAAAACTGTGGATTCCTCTCCTGATCTTAAAAAAAAAAAAACAACACCAAAAAACACCAATTCCATTTGACATTAAGATAGGGCAAATTGTCAGAAGGAGTTTTTAGGAGCGCTGAGGAAGAAAATGAGAAAGAAATCAGCAGGACTGAGACGTGCGCACAGTAACTTTGCACGTAGATGGGACTTTGCGTGCATGTGGTCTTTTCCCCTGCTCCTTAATTCCTTTACTCAGCAATGAGTTCTTTCCCTTAGGGAAAGTGGGCCAGGCCAAGCCTGCTCCTTTTGTGAGTAAAGGCAAGAGCCAGCATTATTCCCAGAGAGCACAGCACAGTTTCCTATGCTGGCTGAAAGGAATAAGGGGGAGGTAAAACAGATTAGCTGGAGGAAGGTGAGGTTAACAAGAGAAATAATGCTATTTTACGTTCTTCCTTCTGCAAACATTCAACTTTTCTACTTTGCAAAGAAGCCTTGAGATCCTGGACTTTCCAGTCTGACAAAAAAATTATGACCCTCAGTATCAAATAAAATTCATAAATTCTACAGATTCCCTAAGTCTTCACAGGGTGCAAGACTGCATCTACTTCGGACTGACTTTATGACAGGTAAAATCTCACCACTACATATTGACCTTGACAGTGTTTGAGAGAGATGTGAGTCAGCTTTAGAAACCAGGCTTTAGAACACTAAGATATAGTAAAACATACTCAGTATAATGGTCCAAACTAGGAGCATGCTCTGAGTTAAGAAAAGGACATGTCAGAGTGAATTTTTTCACAGGACATTAAATCCACCTCTGTAAATCATCATCACCCAGTTTTGCCTGCCAGTGATCTCACCAACAGGAAAACCCAAATCATTCTAAGCATCCTGTCTGTCACTCCATTCTTCTCATTTTTTCCCTCTTTTCTTTATCGCCCCCTTCCCCAGAACTTTTAAACTTCTCAGCCTATTTCAACCAAATTTTCTTAAGAAATATCTCAAATATATTAGGTTTGGGGAAGTTCCATGTTTTTCTGAAAATCAGTGTCTGAGTAGTGAGGAGAAACCCACCATTAGTTACTCCACAGAGAAAAGTTGCTAATGGAGCTCAGCAGCATATATACCGGATAATCAAATGACGTTTACCTGGGACAATATTAGCATAAACTCAATAATATGACATTTCTATCTAGCAAAACTAACTACTAAGAGCAAAATGAGCATGCTCTTCACAGCCTACCATATTCCCTAATGATTGAGCCAAATCGAGAGACTTGGTGCTTTTACTTAAAGTACACTCAATTTTGTGGGTTCAGGACAACAGGAAAAGAAAACCTTGTAAGTTTTGGGGCAGGAAGAAGTGTTGGTGATAATGGAACTGTTCCCCAGAAAGAGCAAGAGTCAGAACTCCTCCCAGGGTTAACCAAACTTGAGATGCAGCCTCTGCAGATTAAAGTGATAGCTCAAACTCAACCCTTCTGTTCCATCTACAAGATACACACTAGTCTCATCCATGAAAACAAATAAACAGACATAAGATTAAGATATAATTAAAACCTTCATATAACTTTCATTTTGAGAAAGACAGAACTGCATATGATTAATGCTAATCAAACTGTTTAATGTATTTCTGGCATACATTTCAGAATTGAACCAAAGTAGTGCAGAAAGCAAACAAAGTAAAATTCTACTCAAGGGGGAAGATACTCAGCTGCTGTGCTAGATGCCGAAACGAAATAACTATGTGCTAAACTGTCAGAATGCAGCATTCAAAACAAGTAAGAAATAAAGATGAACGGCTGAGACTATCTTCCCTCCTTCTCCTTTTCAATGCTTTCTCTAAGGAACAGGTTGTTCAAAGAAGAAATTTAGAGCATGATACGATTGTCACGTTCCCATAACTAGTCAAAGGAATACAGCTAGGAAAGTAAAATTCCTACAGTAATATGTGATTTTTTTAAAAAATGAAATGCTATTTTCAAAGCTGTTTAGCTGATAATAATGAGAAATCCAGGGAAATTTGGATTTCTTTAAAAAAAAAAAACAAAATCCACAAATGTTATCTGACATTTAACCAATTAATTCTGAAAGCAGAGATGAGCAAAACACGAAAACAACTACTCAGATAAGACTAAAGATAAGACAATTATTTCTCCAGCAGAAGTAATTGATCACAATGTTTTCAGATAAGCACATTTGATTCACTGTGCATTAGAGAATGGTATTTCTCCACTGCTCATTAAGGAATTGATCCCAATGAATTGCTAAAATGCCTACATAAGTCAGAGTAACATTTGAAAACTGTGTCCTTAAAAGCAAGGTTTAAGACATCAAAATAATGAAATATATTTATTTTATAATTCCTTGATATAT